GATTAGTCCATGCCCCTCCTTCAATTAAAAAAAAAATCATAATTATAGTTGATACTGTATTTGGCAGGGACCAAAAGCTCAAATGCCTTCAGGGACTAGAGTAAAAGGATAAGTGAGTCAGGTCAAACAAAGCATATCCAAGGGTCCATCATGTAACCTTTGATAATGGCTTCCGAATGTCTTTTAGTAAACAGTCTTCATTAAAATCTGTCTTTTATTAAGCAATTCTATAATGTCTGGCCTTTTATATTTATGTCACACCACCCATCATCCCAGTAAGCCTTCCACAAAAAAGAATTATCTGGCCCAAAATACCAATAGTGTCAAAGTTAAGAAACCCTGGTCTAGCCAATATTGCTATTTCCCTCATTTTATATTCAAGAAAAGTGACGCACCAAAAAGATCAGAGTTCTGTCTGCTGTCACACAGCCATGCACAGAAGTGCTACAGTAGATGCCAACCAGTGTGACATCAGACATAAGTCCCTACTCATTACTAATCTGAAGCTAATAATGGCAGGATGATAGGTGAAAGCTGTTGCACATTTTAAGCCATTTAGTCTCCACCACTCTCAGAGTTGTTCCATAGATATGGAGACTGAGACAAGAGAGCGTAAAACACTTGCTCACATCGTTAGTAACTGTAGAGACAGGAGCTGAAGACCCAAGTTGTCTATTTCCAGAGCCTCTGCTCTTGGTGCTATTCTGCCGTTATGTCAGTGGTTTTCAGGCAGTTTTGCTCCCTGGAGAAATTTGGAAAAGTCTGGAGAGCCATTTTTGGGTTATCAGGGCTAAATGCCGATAGCACTGAAGTTAAGAAACCCTGACCTGAATGATATCACTTTGCAGCCATGGAGATATAAACCAGGCATTCGGGCTAGATGTGCACTGACAGCACATCACTTAAAGTTTTCATCTCTAAATAAATCTTTACTATCAGGTGGCTTTTATGTTATTTGCCGCTCCTCTAAAAAAGAAGGAGCTCTGGTGGCATAGTACCTAAGGCACTTGACTGCTAACCAGAACCACTCCTGGGAAGGAAGGTTGGGCAATCTACTTCCATAATGATACTGCCTCAGAAACCGAATGAGTCGGATCCAAAAATAATAATCCAGATAATTGAGTATTTTGTGTAACCATTTTTTAAAAAGTTTGGTTCTTATAATGATATTCACTGTTAAAAAATCTATAACATTTCATTTTTATTGTGAATCTCATTTGTATGTAGAGTCTGAATTTAAATAGTTCTTTTTTTCTCCACCTACGTATGCACATTATTAAAATTCTACCTCACATCTCTACACAGTTATCTCTGTGACTAGAATTGTTCCCAATGAATCTCTCTTACCTCCTCTCCCCTCTTGACATTTACAAGTTACTTCCCACAGGTCACAGAGAAGATGTCAGTGAAGAAGAAAAATGAAAACGGAATCCCTTTGCCCTTAATTACTTAGCAGCTGTCTTGGCACATTTTGTTCACTTCTCCCTTTTGCCCCTGAAATGACTGTTATCACTATTAATTATTTTCAGAGTTTAGAGAAACAATATGTACTGGCTTAGAAACAAGTGGAGTTAGGTTTGAGGAGCAGTGACATCATCAGAGCAGGGCAGCTGGCTGAGAGGGAGTATGTGCTCCTGCTAGTGAAGTAGAAGACATAAAAGATAAAACACTTCAAAGATAATGTGTTTCATGGTGGAAAGGAGGAGGGGTTCCAACAGTGACCATTAATCCACAGCTCTGCTGTCAACAGTGGTTTATTTAAACATCTGTTACACATTTGTAATTTAAAAAATCTGCTTCTAGGTACTTAGAATTTTTTAAAAAAGCAGTTTTCTTTCTAGAGTTAAAAAAAAAAAAAAAATGTGTCCTTTCAGCTTAAAAATCCAACTGACCTTCTTAATGAGCTTTTGGCCAAGTAAGAACTTTCTAGAGTTCAATTTTATGTATTTTGGTTAATGTGACTTCCTGTTTTTGAAAGGGGGAAAGGGATTAATAATAGTCCAAAAGCTGCTTGCGTTTTGGATTGTTCTTTAGAAAATCAATTTTATGATGAGTTAAGTATAAGCTGGTTAAAAACATATGGATTAAATTTTCCTTAAAATATGAATGGTTTTAAAAATTAAGAGGGAGGAGGCCTTGGCAATCTGTGATTACTTTCTGTTGAAGTAAAAGCATTTGAAAAGTAATTGCTGCCATTAGGGAAAAATAAAAAAAAACAGCTAGATTTACCCTTCTTTTACCTGTTCTCCTTAACTTACCAAAACCATACAAGCAAACTATCACAAACCTATTTTTTTACTATATACTTTATTAGGAACAAGGCATAAAAATATAGTTTATAATATTTTATTTTATTTTAAGATTGGATTATATTCTTAAAAAACTATTCTGGGCAGGATTTTTCTTATGCAAATCTAAGTGGTAAATTACTTTTATATCAAATTTAAATGCAGTTTGTAAAAATTTGATTTGTTTCTGTCACAATCCTAAATATTATCATAGAGATAAAATGGATATTTGTTATGATTATTTATGTTAGTTATAAAATAGCAAGCACATATAAAATCTTATATCAGTATATTTAAGTTTAATATGTACACCATAGAAGTTAGGCTACAAGTAAAACTAGCAAATTTAACTTTACTGTGCTGTTGTTGTTACATGCCATCAAGTTGCTTGCCTCCAACTCATAGCGACCCTATGTACAACAGAACAAAATACTAACCGGTCATTTGCCAACCTCACAATTCTTGCTATACCTGAGCCCATTGTTCCAGTGTTGCAGCAACTGTGTCAATCCATCTCATTGATGGCCTTCCCCTTTTCCAATGACCCTCCATTTTACAAAACATGATATCCTTCTACGGGGAATGAGCCCTTCTGACAACATGACAAAAGTAGGTGAGACGAATCCTGGCCATTCTTGCTGCTAAGGAACATTCTGGCTGCAGTTCTTCCAGGACAGATTTGTTCCTTTTTCTGGCAGTTCATGGTGTTTTCAGTATTCTTCACCAATTCCACAGTTCTTCTTAGGTCTTCCTTATTCATTGTCTAGCTTTCAGATGCATATCCAGTGATTGAAAACACCATGGCTTGGACGAGGTGCACCATAGTCTTCAAAGAGACATCTCTGCTCTTCAGCACTTTAAAGAAGTCTTTTGAGGCAGATTTAACCAGTGCGATACGTTGTCTGATATCTTGATTGCTGCTTCCATAGATATTGACTGTGGAACCAAGCAATATGAAATCTTTGACAATTTCAATCTTTTCTCCATTTATTGTGATGCTGCTTATTGATCCAGTTTGAGGATTTTCATTTCCTTTATGTTAAGGTATAGTCCATACTGCAGACTTACTCTTTAATCTTTATCCACTTGTCCTGTTTGAATGACAGCATCCTGGTCTACGCACAGGTTCCTCATGAGCCACTTTTTACTAAGTTCACATAATTGCCACAATAATGAAATGATACCCAAAAGTGCTTGGCAAACTTTGTCCTTAAAGAAAACAATTAGCATTGGATGGTGAAAGAGACAGAAAATCTACAAAGTAATTTGAACTTCAGTAATGATACTAATTAAGATCAGTCCTAATTGATTAGTCCTTGGGTAATGCAATTAGGAGCCAAGGACAGGCAGAGACATATTGCAAGTGAAACTTGATGTAATCTCTCTGAGAAGTTGTTATTTGAGGAGTATTTATGGAAATAAAAAAGAGAGTATTATGTATAACTAGATAACTTCAGAGAGCAATTCCCATGGTTGTGGTATTTCTCGTATTTTCTACACTACATTTCATTTGCCCTCCCTGCTCAAACTCAGCTTTCTCATTACCACGCAGAATGTTACAGTTGAATATACATAAATTTTGTTTATTAGAGTAAGGCAGGTTTATATCATAGGACAAAAAGATTAAGTATAATGATAGTTAAGTTTAAATATCTATAACCTATACATTGTGGCAGCAGTTGGAAATAAAAATAAAAATAATTGTTATTATGTTTTAAACCTACTACTTACAAAAAGACAAAAAGTGCCCTAGTGATACCACGTTTAAGCATTGAGCTGGTAACTCAAAAGTTGGTGATTCAAACCCACTCAGCAGCTCTGTGGGTAAAAGACATGACAATCTACTTCTGTAAAAATTAGAGCCAAGAAAACATCATAGGATAGTGGTACTCTGTCCCATGTAGTCACTATGGGTCAGAGTTGGGTCACTCAATGGCACCCAGCAACTCTCTGCAAAGAGCTATAGAAGCTCACATGCACTATCATTATCTTTTTATTCTTCCCAATAAGCATGGAGAGTAAATGATATCATTCCCATTTTACAGACGGTGGAACTGAGGTAGTATTTTATTATAAATTGTCACATCTGGCATTCAAGTGCAAGGTGTTTTGCTTCTGAACCATTTGTATCCACGTGGTATTTCAATGTTTGCTGTTGAATTTTGCCCACGATGTGATTGTCACTAATGTGCCTTTATTTCCAAAAATTACATTATTATTCAATTATGTCACTTTGACTATGTCATCTGCAGAAATACTGAACACTCTGTACTATTTTGAATTTTGCCTTCTGTTTTCTAAGTCACAGGTTTTTCTGGTGCTCTTACCTATAAAATATCTGTAATACTTTGCTATTATTTTTTAAAAGAATTTAAGTACCTCTAGAAAAACCATAGGAGCCCTGATGGCACAGTGGTTAAGCACTCAACTTCTAACCAAAAGGTGGGTGGTTTGAACCCACTATAGGAGAAAGATGTGGCAGTCTGCTTCTATAAAGATTTATGACCTTGGAAACCCTATGGGCCAGTTCTATTCTGTCCTGTAGGGCCTCTGTAGGAATTGACTCAATGGCAGTGGATTAGAAAAACCATAATCCTTCCCAGGAAAGTACATTTTTAAATATTTCATATGGTTTTCTTAATCAAAGATGCTTGGATCCATGTGGAATTGAACTACTAAATTTCACCTTCTTTATTTCATTTTGTGTTCTAGGAACATCCCTCACTAGGCCAACTTTCAGAAAAATTAATAGACAACAACATCAATGTCATTTTTGCAGTTCAAGGGAAACAGTTTCATTGGTATAAGGTATGTTCATTCTCAAAACACAAACATGAAAATGTTTACATTGATAGTTGAAATTAGGACACCACTTAGAAAAGCAGATGATAATTCCAGAGTTATTTTACTTTGTACAGTCGAGCACTAATACTACATTGACTCATGTATGTAATATGATGCCTTTCATTAACTTTAAAATATTAATTCCATCTGTTACTTGGCACCACAAACCAAATGTGTATACTAAATGTTGTTGGAGAATTATACTAACTACATAGGGGCAGAGCATGATACTCAAGATGTTACTAACTGTTAAAAGAACAGAGATGACTTTTATCATGTGAAAACTAGTACATGCTGCACCACTATAGCTGTGACCAGAGTCTTGTTAATACACTGGTCCTTGACTTTATCTTTATCAACTAGTTATGGTTGGGGAATATCATGTTAATTTTCAATAGCATCAGCATATGTAGATTGGGTCTAGGTCACATGGTAAAGAAACAAGAGGCGCCATGGAAGCAGCTGCCAACCCATTTAAAGCCTTTATTTAAAAATAAGCTCTTTTGTGCCCCAGATCCTTTCTTTGAGCCAGGTGAGAGGCACAAGCAGACAAGACATTCAGTCCCTATGTCACTGTTGACTCCCTATGGGCCTCCAGCACAGAACTGCTCTTCTATTACCCTGATAGAGCTTTTTCTTACAGTCTTTAGGTTTTTTCTTCCAGCAGTCCCTCTTTTTTTTTTTTACTTTCATGACCCTACAATGCCCTAATTTCCATGTAAGTCTCTGTTCACTAAGTCTTTATCATCTCTTTTGGGATCTTTTCTTCTTCCTTCTACTCTTTAAGTGTAAATCTCCTCAGTGTCCAACTCCCAGTGCCTTTTACTTACTTTTACTTTTCAATTCTGTGGAGAAACTACTTTTTCTATTGGCTTCAAAAAATCTTGAACCCTTTTGTAATTGCCAGAAAGTTAATTGATCTTCCATTCACCAATTTTGCCCATGCCCCACTCCCATATTCGTGATCTAAAAGCATTATTTAATCACATAACTTCTTTTCTTTAAAATAAATACTGAAATTTTAATTCCACATTTTCACAAATGTGTATATCATGGAACACTTTTTTTTTTTTTTTTAATAACAGCAGTTAACATCTACAGAAATAGGGCTCTGGAAAAAATTAAATGGCCCAAATCTTTTATTAACAATAAGAGCAGCTTCCCTTTATTGGGTACTTACTATTGTCAGGCACTGAGTTTATAAACACTAACTCATTTAATCCTCATAACAACTCATAACAATAAGGGAAATACTGTTTTTAAATATTTTAAAGAGGAGAAAACACATTTAAGGAGGTTAAATACTTGCCCAAAGTTTTCTATCAACCTGAATCCTATGCTCTTAACCTCCAAATGCAATAATTGACTCAAAAATTGTTGCCACTTTCTGTAACATTTGCCTCCACTTTCTCTGCTGTTTGTTTTTTCTTGAAGGTGGTATTAACTCTGGTAGTTTCTCCCTACTTCTTTTTAAAATTTGCCACTGACTGATAAATTATAAAGCCAGGTTTATTATTATTTGAATTGTGTGCAAAGTAAGAATCAACAGGCTCTGGAAATCTGAGAAGCTCTGCTTCAATTCCTGTGTATGCCCAGGAAGCCACTAATTTTGCTGCCCTGAGATCTTTTCATCAGACACTTTTTATCTGGATTGTAGCAGTTTACTAACAATCTACCAAATCCATCCTCCACCTGGCTGCCAAAATAATATCTTTAAATCACAAAGGTAACCACAGTACTCCACCCTTCCAGTGGCTCCCTCTGACTTTGAGGATCAAACATATGAATGTGGCATATGAAGCCATCTGAGACCTGCTTACCTCTCTGGTCTCATCCCCCACTCTTCCCTGCCTTTCACTTGTTCCTCTAGAGATGCTTGTTATATTCCGTTGCACACACACTCACCAGGCTGTTTCTTTCCTCTGTGCCTTTCTCCTTGCTTCCTGTCTCCCATGCACAACATTCACCCTCATATGCACTTACCTGTTAAAAACAACTGCCACTGAGTTGATATCTCACGTATGTCAGAGTAGAACTGTGCTAGGGTTTCTTTTTTTTCCCATGCGGTTTTCAGTGGGCTGATTTTTCAGTCGATTGCCAAGGCTTTCTTATGAGATGACTCTGGGCGGATTTGGACCACTACCATTTCAGTCAGCAGCCAAACACAGTTAACCATTTGCACCACCCAGAAATTCTAGTAAACTCTTGTTGTTATTATTAGTGGTCATCAAGTCAATTCCAATTCATGGCAACTCCACTTATACAGAGCAGAACGGCTCTATAGGATATTCAGTGAAACTATTCACAAGCAGATCACCAGGCCCATCTCCTGAACTCCTCTGTGGGGGAGAGTTGAACGACCAATCTTTCGACCAGTGGTCAAGCACTTGATGCAAATGGTTAATTTGCAACATCCAGCAACTCCTTATTCATCCTTAAGGCACAGCTTATGAGTCACGTATGGCAAGGAAACATCTCTGACAGCCTTTACCAGCCGCTCAAATACTTGCTGGCTATCCCTTTGATTAAGGGCTTTTCATATTTCCATTATTTCACATGTACATTGTTTTGTGGAATTGTCATTTATATACTTGTGAAATCATAAAGCAGTGAAAGTATGTTATCTAGAAATTTAGCATCTCAGAAGTGGTACACAATAAGTACTTAATGCACTTTGGATAAAGCAATTTAAAACACCTATAAGTGATACATTTTGGTCATTACCCAAGACAACAAATTGTTAGTGCCTAATAGGTCCCTGGGTGGCAAAAACAGTTTGCACTTGACTGCTAAACAAAAGGTTGGCAGTTTGAACTCACCCAGTGACTCCATGGAAGGAAGACCTGGCAGTCTACTTCCATAAATATTACAACCAAGAAAACCCTTTGAAGCTCAGCTCTACTCTGTAACACATGGAATCACTGTGAGTGGAAATCAACTTGATGGTAACTGGTTTGATTTTTTTGGATGAAATGTAAAACGAATGAATAAATGGATTAAAAGAATTTTCATAATCTGATTCCTTGTAAATATGTATACTTTACTCCAATCAGTCTGGTCCCTTCCCAGTTCTTACTTCCTCTACAACTCAGGTAAACCTCTGTACCTTCATTCATTCTCATTTTCTCCCTAGGATACCTTGGGTTTTCTCCATAATTATTTAGTACCATCCATCCATCAAGAACACCTGTTTCATGAAGTTTACCCTAATTATATAACTTTTTGTCTGATTTATGTCAACATGTCTTGAAGATCCATCCATAGATAGTAGTTCTGTAATATATGTACATATATATGTGTGTGTGAGAGAGAAAGAGAGAGAGAAAGGGAAGGAGAAAAGTGTTCTGCAATCAATGAAATGTTGGGAAAAGCTGCATTGAACAATGTTAATTTTTTTCCAAATTGCAAGTCTTCTCAGAATCTTTAGTGTATAAATATACATTTTGGCATAGTGCCTAAGGCATTTGACTGCTAACCAGAAGACTGGCGGTTCAAACCCACCAGCCACTCCTCGAAGGAAGGTTGGGCAATCCACTTCCATAGTGATAGTGCCTCAGGAACCCAAGGAGGTGTCGTTATGAGTCAGATCCGACTCAACAGCAGTGAGTTTGGTTTTGTTTTTTTAAATGGAAGAAAACATGCAAAATTTCCCAAACTTATTTGCCTTCAGAAGCCTTTTTAATGTTTAAAATGTCTTGAAACTATGAAGATACTTTGGGAAATGCTGGTCTGTACTTTGATTGCAGTTTTAGATCAGCACATAATTTGTGCACACACACACATTCATGTGCATACACAGACATGCTATCATTTCAAATATATATGCTTTAACTGCTCTAGGTTGCTTATATTTTCCCTGTTTCTTATATTTGCTTTCATTTTTAACATCTCTTCTTCTTACCACTATAAAAATATTGATATTTGTTGACTGCTGAACCATGGTATACTCTTCTCATTATGTATATGTAACTGATATGTTTTATAGGATCTTCTTCCACTCTTGCCTGGCACCATCGCTGGTCAAATAGAATCAAATGCTGCAAACCTCAATAATTTGGTAGTAGAAGCATATCAGGTATGTCTCTACAATACAGAGGGTTTTTTTAAAATAAATCAATCAATTTTAACTCCAATTTCTTGCATCAAAGTACAAACTAGTGTCGTATCATCTTGAAAGAAGTGGTGGAAAGAACATTAGATTAGGAACCTGGAACCTAGAGTCTAACGTTGGCTCTGCCACTCAAAAGGAACCCTGGTGGCACAGTGGTTAAGTACTGGACTAATAAACAAAAGGTCAGCAGTTTGAACCTATCAGCTGCTCTGTGGGAGAAAGATGTGGCAGTCTGCTTCTGCAAAGGTGATCACCTTGAAACGCCCTGGGACAGTTCTACTCTGTCCTAGAGTAATATGCCTAGAGGGTCCCTATAAGTTGGAATCAACTCAACAGCAATGAATTTAGTTTTGTTTTTTTTTTTTTTTTCTTCACTCTCTAGCCATGATACTTTGGCAAAATCATTTCTCCTTTCTCTGCTCAGTTGTATCACTGACAATAAACTCAGGTTGGGCTGGAATCTAAATGTCTTTCTCAATCAAATACTCAATGAATCACTCAATCATAGCTATAGAATATATCTCTTTACTAAGACATTTCACAGTGTCTGAAATCATAAAGTAAGAAATGTATACTGTTATTTAAATAAATATCTAGTCAGATAAGAGAATCTGGGTTATACAGATTCCTAAGAGGACTCTGTTAGGGAGCTCTGAGGTCAAACATGTAATTGATCCATCAATTATCTTAGCACTTTTATTAAACTAGTCGGATTTTTTAAAATCACCTCAATTGATAGAGTGTTTTATTGAATTGACAGTCATATGCTGCCACAAGTCTTATGAACAGGAGATATGTAAAGGCCAAGAATTTAAAGATGCATCTGCTATCTCAACATGGATCATTGCTGGAATAGAACATCTCTGTTAAGATGTTATAATAATGATGCCATATCATATTAACTGTACAAGAACCAGCCCCTTTCCCCACATGGCCTCATTTAATTCTCACAAAAGATTTATAAGGCCAGTGTTACTACTTCTATTGTACATTTTCAGAAATCAAGGGTTAGAGAAATTCAGCAATTCTCTGAATAGAAATAGAATTGAAACCCAGATGTTCTGGGATTCCAGAACACAGGTGTTTTGTCCTTTGTGATACCATCTTTTTTTTTTTTTTTTTAACAAGATGCCAAAAGTTATGCTTTATTCTACTTTGAATTAATGGGCTACTGGTAAAATCCCACTTTCCAAAATTCTCTCTGATTCCCTCCCCAACGCAGTAGTAGTGTTTAATAATGTAAATAATAGCTAAGGCATCATGAAAAACCTCAGGCTTCTTTTCCTTTAATCTTGTCCAGGCAGCACCTGGACAAAAGGAAAAAGGTAGACATAGAACAGAAAATGAAGAACTTATTTAAACATTTTTCTTCTAAAAGAAAAACAAATTTTACTCATATTTTTTTTGCCAAGGAATTTTTTTGCATCAGAAAACTACATTGGATGAAATAAGGGGCATCTTAAGTTACATTTCTTTCTCACAACTAAAAAAGAACATCAAGACCAGGGCATCTTCCATTGAGGAAAGTCATTCGTGCATGCAATTCATCTCATCAGTAGTTTGTTCCCAAGAATGAGCACAATTAGAAAGAAACTTACAGTATTTGAAGAACGCTTAAAGTTTTAAAGTATGCACCCATTTATTAATCCAAACATGATAATTAAATTAACAGACTTTCACCTGTGTGTCAGTCAGGCTGCACCAATGGAAAAGGAGGCCTCTTGAGACAGCGCCAATTGGCTTCATGATCTTTATTTGTCTAGGATACATATGCGATGCCATCAGAGTTCTGATTAAACTTGAGCAATGGAAAAATATTCCTAACTTGAACAAAAATTCTGCCCTGGCTAATTAATCTCTAACTTGGGATTCTGTCATTATTTTTCACGTCTGTATTTTCAAAATCCTTACCAAATTCTCATTTTGTCTTCACAGTCCAACAAAAATAGTCTGGTTATAGTTATATTCTAGTTATAGAATTGTACATCAGAAAAACATATTTCTGCTCCTGTACCTATTATATATTGAAAAGGAAGCTTAAGATTGTGTCTGAAACTTAATTTCTAAATCCCAAAAGTGGACAAAGTTTTTAGAGATTTGTCTTCACACCCTGCTTGAAAAACAGTGGCCTAATCAGCTTAAGGTCTTAAGAAAAGCAGAATTTCATAAGGGCAAGCTGAGAATGCTCATTGTATTAGGTATTTCCTTCTGATCTGTTATACTGCTACTACTACCACTGCTATTGTACCACTACTACAGACTACCAAGGAGTTGATTCCAACCCATGATCATCCGATGCATGTTGGAATAGAGTTGACCTCCACAAGCATTTTAGTAGTGGATTTTCCGGTAGTTCCCCAGGCCTGTCTTTCAACGTGCCTCTGGGTGGACTTTAATCTCCAGTCTTTCAGTTAACAGTGAAGCGTGTTACTCATTTGCACCACCCAGGAACTCTCCTGACCTGTCAAACCATCACCATATTGGGAGTGTTTGTATATACCATTAGGGAGCTCTGGTGGTGCAGTGCCTAAGGCATTTGACTGCTAACCAGAAGTTGGCAGTTCAAACCCACCAGCCACTCCTCAGATGGAAGGTTGAGAAATCTGTTTACATAGTGATACTGCCTCAGAAACCTAAGGAGGGGTCACTAAGAGGCAGATCTGACTTTGATGGCAGTGAGGTTTTTTTTTTTTTTTTTTGGTTTGCTATACCATTAGACATTTCTATTGCTTTACCGAAATGGTCCAATTAAGTGATCAAAGTATACTTAGCCTTTTGGGAGATTAAAAAAAAAAAAAATGTGATTGGCATCATCCAATCTAATCCAAATATAATTCATGAGATTAAGGAAAGTATCTTGTTTGAAGGACTTCCTTTGATAATTCTGTGATCAATTAATCATGTTTAAGCACACGTCTCTATGTGTTATGCTTTTGAAGGAGAAAAATTACTCAAGGAATTAGAAACCATTGGAAATTACTTTTTTTTCCGTATATACGGTTACTCACTCTCCTTCTAATGTATGTTTACAAATGTAAATAAAGGATGTTTGCATGTGGTAGGCTCTTAGTTTTATAGGACAAAATACACAGAGATCTTCTGTATATATTTAAAATGTTGTTGTTGTTGTTATGTGCCATCGAGTCAGCCCCGACTCATAGCGACAAAGTAGCTTGATTTTTTTTGTTGTGATAGAAGAAATTAGTGTGTGCCTAATACATCATAAAGGAGCTCTTTGACTTGACAGAAGCAAAAAATCCCCCAGGGACTTGGTGAAAACTCCAGACTGTTCTTGGAGGAATTTGTAGGACCATATCTGGAGGTAATTCTTTTGCCTACAGTATAGAAATGGCCTCCCAGAAGTTTAACTTACAGTTCTCAATCACTCATTCAATATAGCTTTTATGAAAGGACCTGTAGTGACACAGTGCCTAAGGCATTTGATTGCTAACCAGAAGGTTGGCAGTTCAAACCCACCAGCTGCTCCATAGAAGAAAGATGGGGCAACCTACTTCCACAAAAATTTACTGCCTCGGAAACCCAATGCGGGTCACTATGAGTTGGAATTGACTTGATAGCAATGAGCTTGTTTTTTTCTTTTTTCTTTTTTTTTCCGATTTAAAGTGTTTGACTCCTACCCATCTGTCATACTGTGATGGTCTGTGTGTTGTTATGATAGTGGTAGCTATGCCACCAGTATTTCAAATACCCTCAGAGTCGCCCATGGTGAACAAGTTTCACTGGAACTTCCAAACCAAGACAGACTAGGCAGAAAGACTTGACTATGCACTTCCACAAATTCCAACCAAAACTCACTGCTGTCGACTCGGATCTGACTCACAGCAACACCTCCTTGGGTTTCCGAGGCAATATCACTACAGAAGAAGTAGATCAAATGAAAAAGTTATGGATCACAACAGAACATTGTCTGATATAGTGCTGGAAGATTAGCCCCTAAATTGGAAAGCACTGAATAATGACCTCAACCATGAACTCTCATATGCCAGTGATTGTGAAGATGGTGTAGGACCAGGGGACATTGGGTTATGCTGTGCATAAGACCACCATAACTTGGAGCTGACACAACAGCAGTTAACAACCAAAAGTATTGGAAGCTGAGATGTTTCCTTGACAACTGTAAATGTTAGAGACATGTTCCACACTTTAAACTGTCAAGATTTCCCCTCTTTAATGATATATGTGTTTTCAAAAGTTTTATTTAAACCTGTCATAAAATATAGTATTATTGGATTTAAAAAAAAAAAAAAAAAGTACTTTTGTGTAACGCAGGCCAAATGGAGATAATTTGAAGTGACCAAAATACACAGTCACTGAAATATATGTAAACATAGAGCAATTTAAGTGCAGAGAGCAGCCACTTCAGAACGTCTTGTGTATTTGGAATATAACTGAAATGTTAAGTGGCAATAAAGTTTTTATTCATCTTTTTTTAGAGACAGACATCTTTCATTTAGTTAAAAATTAAACCTAGAATGAATTAATAAACTTAACTATGATTTGTTGGTTACATTTGAAACCACCAAAGTATGTAACTTTTTAAAAATGCTATCTTTGCAGAAACTCATTTCAGAAGTGAAAGTTCAGGTGGAAAACCAGATACATGGAGTCTCTTTTAACATTACTGCCATCTGTCCAGATGGGTCCAGAAAGCCAGGCATGGAGGGATGCAGAAATGTGACAAGCAATGACGAAGTACGTGATACACATTTTCCCCATTTTCAATTAACTAAGTTTTTTGGCATCAAAACATTCTGAAAAATTTTGCTTACTACTGATTTCCAAGGATCTTATTTGGACTTCAAAGTAATATTCATTTCTCTTCTGAAAAGTTCCTGCTTATTTTAACTCTGTCGACTCTTCTCTAAACTCTCTCATGTTAAATAAACATATACACGTAATATTAAATACTTGCTTAATAATAGTTACTTTAAGCTTAGAGGCAGCAGTGGTTCAGTGGTAGAATTTTTGCCTTCCATGCAGAAGACCCCAGTTCGATTCACAGCCACTGTACCTCAATGCAGCCAACACCCGTATGTCACTGAAGACTTCTGGGTTGCTATGATGCTGAACAGGTTTCAGCGGAGTTTCTAGACAAGGGAAACTAGGAATAAAGGCCTGACAATGTACTTCTGAAAATCAGCCAGTGAAAATCCTATGATCACTATAGTCCATTTCATTGTGAGCAAGGTTACCAAGGCTCAGGGCCGAGCTGATGTGATGGCAGCTAGCAACTTGAAACTTAGATGTCACAGTCAATATAGATTAAAAAATCACACATCCTCAAACAAGTAGTGTCTATAATTATCTTATGATGATGACAATACCTTTTGGGTTTTAAGTCTGAAAATTCTTAACATAACCAGAAAATTGAAGATGATAGCCCAGAAAAGAAGGGGAAGGGAAAGAAAGAATGATGGAGCAGGTTGATGAAGTCTGAGAATCCCAAAACCTTTCACTTGGTAATTGTCCTGATGCACTCATAATGATCTAAAGAAAGGTGGGGAGATTTTTAAAGAACATAAAGAAAAGGAACTCTGGCATCATTTAACTAAAAATTGTTGAGATGTGATTGAAAAGAGAGGCCCAGATTATAGCAACATTAGCAAATAGAACCCAGGAAGATAGGAATTCTCCCGTGATACACAGTAGAGAATAAATGCCAGAAATATGCTAATATGCTTTTAAAGGGGGTTCTTAGAGGGCAAATTTATTTTCAGGAATAATTTACCTTTTAAGGCACCTCTGACCTCATTTTTAAATGAACGCCTTAGATTAGAAAGATTAGAAACATTTCTAATTTCTTCCTTCCACCTCTAAAGTTGAGTGCTATTATTTCTTTCAATGTCGTACATAAAGAAAAAAAAGAGTTATTGAAAGATTCTAAGATTGAATTTTTAAAAATCTTCCTTTCTCTTCACGTAGAATATATTTTTTCCCTTTAAGAACTTGAGATTTGAGAGTAGCATAGTTGTTTTGCAGGAGCCCTGGTGGTAACATGATTAAGCACTCAGCTGCTAACCCAAAGGTTGGTGGTTCAAACCCAGCAGTTACTCCATGGGAGAAGGATGTGGCAGTCTGCTTCCATAAAGATTTACAGCCTTGGAAACCCTAGGAGCAGTTCTAGTCTTTCCTTTAGGGTCACTGTAAGTCAAAATTGACTCAGTGGCAATAGGTTTGACATATACATTTAGAAAAAAAAAAAAAAAAACACTGCCATTGGGCCAATTCTACTCATAGCAACCCCTCCTTGGGTTTCTGAGGCAGTATCTCTACGCAAGTAGATTGCCCAGTCTTCCTTCCAAGGAGTGGCTGATGGGTTTGAACCACCAGCCTTCTGGTTAGCAGTCAAGTTTCTTAGACACTATGCCACCAGAGCTCCCTTGATATATGCATAGACACACACACACACACACATACACACACATAGTTGTTCCAACAAGCTGTATATTTTAAAAATAATTATTGCAAGTTTCTAATTCTGTAGACTCCTTTATAATTACTTGCTGGATTTCTTTCAAAAGACATCGCACACCAGTTTACAAAGTACACATTTGATTTTCATTAAATATGTTGCTGTTTGTTTTTGCATGCTGTAGAGTCGGATCCGACTCATAGCGACCCTTCCTTGGGTTTCCGAGGCTGTATCACTATGGAAGTATATTGCCCAAACTTCCTTCCGAGGAGTGGCTGGTGGGTTTGAATCACCAGCCTTCTGGTTAGCAGTCAAGTGCCTTAGGCACTATGCCACCAAAGCTCCCTTGATGTATGCATACACAAACACACACACACACAGTTGTTCCAAAAAACTATATATTTTGAAAATAATTATTGCAAGTTTCTAATTCTGTAGACTCCTTTATAATCACTTGCTGGATTTCTTTCAAAAGACATCACACACCAGTTTACAAAGTATACATTTGATTTCCATTAAATATGTTGTTGTTTGTTGTTGTATGCCGTCGAGTAGACCCGACTCATAGCGACCCCTCCTTGGGTTTCCGAGGCAGTATCACTACGAAAATATATTGTCCAACCTTCCTTCCGAGGAGTGGCTGGTGGGTTTGAGCCACCAGCCTTCTGGTTAGCAGTCAAGTGCCTTAGGCACTATGCTACCAGAGCTCCCATATATAGAGAACAGTTTATACTAGCAAAAGTGAGCTATAAGTTTCTTCAATAGGCTTACTCCCTTAGAAGTAGTTATTTCTTTCAAAATCTGGATTTTGGCAGAATGTCCTTCCTTAGTTCTTCAACTTTTTTCCTTTTCTACATTCCTTTTTTTCTCCTCACTTTCAACTAAGTAGTATAAACAATGTGACTTATATAAACCCAAGTTTTGTTCTACTGTTACTATTGGCTGTGACCCCATTATCCTCCATATCTGTTAATTTTTAGCATTCTTTAAGGCAAAATGATTTCAAGTACAACCTCAACTCTATTGATTTTAATATTATAAGACTACCTCTAATTCCTAATGCATACATATAATACATAAGCCAAAATGTAGAACTTTTATATCACGTTAAGCATGTAAATATATTAAATATGTATTTTTAAATTTTAACAGATCTTAATTTAGCAGGGAGGGGAAAATGTATATATATATACACAGTTTTCTTCTTTACCAAAGTCCCCAAAGACAGTAAAATGGGTCAACAAATACAATGGACATTAAACCAATATTGTGGTGTTCAAAAGTAGCAAAAGAAACAATTTGACAAGATGAAGAAACTACAGATCCATGGAAACCACTTTCTGCCAGCCCCACCCTTTAGTTCTAGACTAACATCTCCCAGGAAGAAATGTATAACCTTGTATTGAGGTCTTAAGGTCTAAGAATGAGCCCCAAACCTCTTTCCTTTGAGTAATACCAGAAGAAGCTACATGTTTTCTTCCAGTGGCACCCTGTGTAAAGTAAAATTTGGTATAAAACTTTACTTAAACCACTAGAAAATAAGAACAAGATAAAAACAGTTCATTTGAATGTCTCATCTAGAGGTTGTTAACTAGTGGGCGAGCAGTCCTTTACTTTGGCTTATTAGACTTACCCCTAGTGACAAATATTCAGTAATCCCAGAATATAAGGGTTGAATCCAGAAAATGGTCTACTCTCTCTCAAGTTTGCTAGGAAATTGATTCAAGACATAAATTAATCATCAGAGGTAGACACTTCAAATAAACTTTCACCCAAGTTCATTTAAAATACAATATAGATAATTAGCAATCATTATTACATCCTTTAACCCTCTAATTCATTAAGTAGAGAGTAAGTGACATTTAAAAAGAGTGTTCATGTATATGTGAAAGGGATTGCATTGCATGTGTAATTTATAAGTATTATTAATTTCTCTAAAATGACTTACTATTAATTATAAATATTGACAGATGTATTATTAGAAAAAGCTCCCTGGTATCTCAGTGGTTAAAGCACTCAGCTGCTAACCGAAAGGTCAGCAGTTCAAACCCACCAGCCACTCCATGGGAGAAAGATGTGGCATTCTGCTTCCATAAAGATTTACAGTGTTGGAAATCCTATGGGGAAGTTGTATTCTGTTCTATAGGGTCACTGAGTCAGAATCCACTTGATAGCAGTGGGATTTTGTTTGTTTGAAAGACAAATAATCAAGGCATGTAAATATATTTCCTTTCTCCTCTTAAATTTAGGTTTTTTTCAGTGTAACAGTTACAATGAAAAAATGTGATGCCACAGGAGGAAAAAGCTATGCAATAATCAAGCCTATTGGTTTCAATGAAACCACTAAAATTCACATCCACAGACACTGCAGCTGTCAGTGTGATGATAGCAGAGAACCTAAAGGAAAGTGTATAGATGAAAATTTTGGGGACACTCACTGTTTCCACTGTGATGACAATAAGTGTCATTTTGATGAAGATCAGCTTCCATCTGAGAGTTGCAAGCCACACAAGGATCAACCTGTTTGCAGTGGTCGCGGGGTTTGTAATTGTGGGAGATGTTTATGTCACAAAACTAAGCTTGGAAGAGTGTATGGAAAATACTGTGAAAAGGATGATTTTTCTTGTCCATATCATCATGGAAATCTGTGTGCTGGTGAGTGTAAATATAAATGCAGTTTTTTTTTCTTCACTTTTTAAAAAATTGTTATAAAAATGTAGTTAATAAAAGAACATTTGCCATTTCTACATTTTATAATGCAGTTTTACTAGTCACAATCACATTAATATATACGTTAAAGGATCTTTAAATCACAGCTTTGCAGTTACCAACACTGATTCTAAATTTATTATTCAAAATCTTATAGTCTGTGAAATAAGAGCATGGCAATATGTATACAGCACATGATTTGGATATTTATATATTTTAACTTATCTTGTACAGGAAACATGTAAAAATTAAGAGCAAAAATTAATTATTAGTCTTATGTATTCCTTATCTTTGGAATTATATATACCAGAAAAGTAAATTGCTGATCATCATTGATAGGTTTTTTTTATGATCAATGTATTTCTTTATAAGGATCTGAAGGATCAGATTCGTATGATAAATGTTCTCTCTCCCCAACTGCCTCATGATTTTTATTTATTTCAGGATGATGGAAAATGAGCCATAAAAAATGCTTTGAATTCTTTGGAAAATTCTTAATGCATTATTATATATGATATTGTAAGTTTGTAGTAATTTAAACTTCCCCAGTTTATTCTTGGAACACTGCCAACAACATAATTGTCAAAGGACAATCAGTGTTCTTCAAATGAATGGTAGTTTAGTTAAGCAGCCTAGAAGATCAATCTCTTAGGCCACACACAGGCTGAATTTTAAAGAAATGAAATAAACTCAAATAGAACATTGTGATTCCTTTGTGGCTAATTAGGTTTACTGCCACCTAGAGGTTAGATTCTAGAAAATCTGTGCAACATTTGAAAATTAATACAAAATATTGTTTTAAGTGAATTACATAGACTAGCTGTTATCACAATTCTGTTAACACAATTTTTGTTGGCAGTGCTACTTCCACATATTGTGAAAACATACTTAAGTATTTGCACTTAAGTAAGCAAAACCACCACTGCCAAGAGTCAATTCTGACTCATAGTGACCCTATAGGACAGGGTAGAACCACCCCATAGGGTTTCTAAGACTGTAAGTTTGTATGGAAGTAGGTTGCTTCATCTTTCTTCCACAAAGAAGCTGGTGGGATCAAACCTCTGTCCTTTTGGTTAGCAGTCAAATGCCTTACCCACTGCATGACCAGATCTCCTTAAATAAACAAGTATTGATTTAATTATTGAAAAACTGAAATCTTTTCATTGTGATGAGTGTATGGAAAGTAACTAACCTATAAAATAAATAAATGTTCTATTCCTATGTATGCTAAAACTTTGGCCTCTCTCACACATACCTAAACACATGATGGCAAGTTGTCTTCTTATTCCATTATATATAATATATTATATATTCTGCTATATACAGAGAACAATTTAGATTCCAAACATTTGTTCAGCTATACCTGGTATCATGGGTGAAGTGGATTATAAATAACTTTACAACAAATCAGCCATTGTCTGCTATTTTTTAGAACTAATCCTATTTAGGATGGAAAAGAAAATAATTTCTAAGAGCATTGCCCAGTGCTGTCAATTTCTCAATGAAATTTGAAGTATATTGAGAATCCCAATCTCTGTTTTGAGTGAACTATCAACAAAATCAGTGCAATGACCCTTCTATATGACTGTAATACTACTAACCCACAGACAGCTGAGAATCTGCTTTGAATTGTTTGTGCATAAGTGGCAAACTGTAATACTGACCCACATTTTTCTCCTTTGAGACTAGAAGCACAGGTTTGCACGTCAGCTGGCTAGTATTAGGTACACAGTGCTGAGCAGACATTTGTTTAGCTTGGCCCTCATTAATTTTACACATTAGCAAACTGAGCTGATCCAATAGTAGATTCCCTGTGAGGTGTTCAGCAGTAAAGGAAAGCAAGGAAAGACTGAAGAAAGAGAAGAGAAAGAGGGAAGAAAAAAAGAGAGAGATGGAGGAAGGGAAGGAAGGAGGGAGGGAAGGAAGTCTGTGGCCAAAAAAACTTGACAAACACTGTATAACCCTGGAAAATGTTCCCCTTCCTCCCCTGGTTGAAGATTTATAATTCTTAATAAAAAACAGAAAACCCACTACCATCAAGTCGATTTCGACTCATAGCAACCCTCACTGGGTTTCCGAGGTGGTAAATCTTTACAGAAGTACATTGCCCTATCTTCCTTCCATGGAGTGACTGGTGGGTTTGAACTGCCAACCTTCTGGTTAACAGTCAAATGCCTTAGGCACTGTACCACTGTTGTTGTTGTTGTTGTTGGTGTTATGTGCCGTCGAGTCAGCCCTGACTCATAGCGACCCCTCCTTGGGTTTCCGAGGCAGTATCACTACGGAAGTAGG